TTTCCAAATTTTTTCTTGTGGTTGACTTCAAGTTTTATAGCCTTGTGGTCAGAAAGGATGCATGGAATGATCTCAGTCTTTTTGTACTTGTTGAGGCCTTATTTGTGGCCTAGTATGTTATCTATTTTGGAGAATGTCCCATGTGCACCTGAAAAGAACACATTTTGTGCTGTTTTAGGATGGAATGCTCTGAATATACGTGTTAAATCCATCTGGTCCAAGGTGTCATTCAAAGCCATTGTTTTCTTGTTGATTTTCTTGTTGATTTTCTGCTTAGATGAGGTGTATATTGATGTAAGTGGGGGTATTCAAGTCTCATATTATTACTCTCAATGAGTTCCTTTATGTTTGTTATTAATTGTTTTATGTATTTCAGTGCTCTCATGTTGTGGGCATAAATATTTACAATTGTTAGACCTTCTTGTTGGATTGCCCCCTTTATTATGATATAGTTCCCTTCTCTATCTCTTGTTACAGTCTTTGTTTAAACTCTATTTTGCCCAATATAAGTATTGCTAATCTGGCTTTCTTTTCACATCCTTTTGCAAGATAAAAGTTTCTCCATCCCCTCCTTTTCAATCTGCAGGTGTCTTTTGGTCTAAAATGAGTCTCTTGTAGGCAGCATATAGATGGGTTTATTTTATCCATTCTGACACCTTATATCTTTTGATTGGAGCATTTAGTCCGTTTACATTCAGAGTAATTAGTGATAGATATGTATTTAGTGCCATTTCATTATTTGTTTGTTGTTTCTGGAGATATTCTCTTATCCTTTCTTGTCCCTGTCAGTTTTGGTCTTTCCTTTCCACTTAAAGAGTTGCCTTTAATGTTTCTTGTAGGGATGTTTTAGTGGTCACAAACTCCTTTATTTTTCGCTTGTCTGGGAAACTCTTTATCTACCCTTCTATTCTGAATGACAACCTGCCAGATAGAGTATTCTTGGCTGCAGATTGTTCCCATTCAGCACTTTGAGTACATCATTCCACTCCCTTCTGTCTTGCCATGTTTCTGTTGAGAAATCTGCAGCTGGCCTTATGAGTCTTCCTTGTAAGTTAGGGATTTCTTTTGTCTTTCTGCTTTAAGATTTTTTCTAAATCATTATATTTTGAAAATTTAATTACAGTAAGTTTTGGTGTTGGCCTGATGTTGTTGATTTTGATGTGAGTTTTCTGTATATCCCAGATCTGAATAACTGTTTCCTTCTCCAGATAGGGAAGATTTAGCTATGATTTGCTTAAGTAAATTTTCTGCGCCCCTTTCTCTTCTTCTGGGACTGCTAAAATACGAATGTTATTACATTTGATGGAGTCACTGAGTTCCCTAAATTTATTCTCATGTTCCATAATTTCTCTTTCTCTCTTTTGTTAATCTTCATTATTTTCCATTATTGTGTCCTCTACATCACTTATTCATTTTTCTGCTTCTTCCAGCCTTGTGTTCATTCCATCAAGTCTATTTCCAATTTCAGTTATTGCAGTTTTCATTTCTGACTGATTCTTTTTTAACTCTTTTGTCTCTGTAGTAAGGGCCTCCCTGAAGTCTTCCATTCTTTTCTCAAGCCCAGCAAGTATCCTTATGATTGTTGCTTTAAATTCTCCATCAGGCATGTAATTATATCTGTTTCACTTGGATCTCTAGCTGTGACCTAATCTTGTTGTTTCATTTGGGATAAATCCCCCGTCTTCGCATTTTTTTCTAAGTCTCTGTCTTCTTCTCTGTGTTAGAAAAGCCAGTAATATTTCCTGTTCCTGAGAGTAATGGCTTTATGAAGAAGCGTCCATACGGTATCCGTGGCCTAGAGCTTTAGGGAGTGTCTCTGGTGTGTGCTCCCTGTGCTCTGCTGTTGTGCTGTGGCTTCTCTGTCCTTCAGGCCAATCGTTCTCAGAGGTTCTCCTTGCCTGCAGCGGGCAGTGTTTGGTTCTTGGCCAAAATGTGGCAAGTTTTAACTATGTGTGCTCTGGTCTGCTTGTGAAATGAGAGCTAATACTTCCACTAGAACTGAAGCACTGCAGAGCTTTCTATTCAGGAGATGTGGTGTGAGCAGGGGTTTCTTTGGTCTTCTACAGAAGGGGCCCACCACACTGTGACTGATGCAAGCTTGACTGAGAAGGGCAGTACCACCAGAGAGCAGTGGTGTGGGACCTGGTATAAGCAGACTAGGCAGCTTGTGTTGGTGCTGTAGTGCTTCCTGCAGGTGGCTCTTTGTTTATGCTGAGGGGCTTGGGCGGGGGAATGGTGCCAGCTAGCTTGTCCCTGGAGGAGTGCCTCCATGCACACTGCCTCTCAGGGAAACACTCCAAGAAGAGCAAGTAATCTCCCCACCATATGTCCTAGGGGTTTTTCAGATTGCTGTTTACACACTATCTGACTCCCTGTTGTATACTGCCTTCTCTTCAGGAGCAGCACAGTGCTTGCTCTCTGGGCTCTATCCCAGCGAAGCCTGCTCACTTTATTTTCTTTTTAAGAGCAAGAGCCATATCTTATTCATCTTTGCACCCTCTAAGGCACCCAGCACAGTGCCTGGAGAAAATGGAGTTAAGTGTTTTTTTGAATAAACTCTGTTTCCATATTTGGGTTTCTCTAGTTTCTTCAATTCAGATCATTTACATAAGTTTCTCCAAAGGGAAGTCATTGACTTCCTCATTTCCAGATAAATTTTATATGTAATAGCATTAATGAAAATAATGAAAAGAAAAAGGGATCTATGTACAATACCACAGTATTATGTCCAGTGTATGTATAACTACCTTGTGGCGAGGTACTCATCAAGAAACATCGATTGGTGAGACAGTTCTTCCTTGTATGGACTATCCAGCATATTGACCTATCCTTTCAAATGCCAGCAGGTCCCTCCATCATTTTGGCAAATCAAAAAGGCCAGTATAGTTTAATTAATTTTTAATTAATTAATTAAATTAATTAAATAAAATTAATTAAAAATAAAAATTAATTAAATTAATTTTAAATTAATTAAAATTTAATTAATTTTTCCAACTGTTAACCACAAATGCATCTTCCAAATTAAAAATAAAAGTTGATTAGGTGCTTATTTGTTTGTTTTTTAATTTTTTATTTAAATTCAATTTAATTAACTTATTCTGTATTTTTAATTTCAGAGGTAGAATTTAGTGATTCATCAGTTGCATGTAACACCAAATGCTCATTACTTCAAGCCTGCTGACTTTTAAAACTGTAGGGTTTAGGAATGTGGTGTGGGCAGGGGCCTGTGCCGGTCTTGGGAAGAGGCCCACTGTGCTGGAATTGAGGTGAGCTTGACAGAGAAGAGCAGTTGTGCCAGAGCGCAAGAGTGTGGGACTTGGTGTAAGCAAGTTAGGCAGCCAGTGTAAGGGCAGAGCTGCCCTCTGTAGGTAGCTCTGTGTTTGTATTAAGGGGTGGGGGAGGAAAGTGGCACCAGCCAACTCCTTTGTCACCAAAGAGGTGTCTCCCTTAACTCTGCTCTCAGGGTGGTGCTCCAGGAAGAGCAAATTATCTCCCCTCTGTGTACCCCAAGTGTTCTTCAGATCACTATTTCCATGTCAGCTGCCCCTTGGTTGTTTGCCTGCCCTCTCTCCAGGAGTAGGGAAGCTCCCTCAGGGCTCTATCACAGCCAAACATGCCAAGCTTTAAAACAGCAGTCTTTAAACACCCCTGGTTGCAAGAACTCATGAAAGTCAGCCATTCTCATTTTGCCAGCCAATGGTTTTGGGGGTGCATTCCCCTGTGTGCTCCTCTCTCTCTTGCCTTTCTCCACGACCATGGCTCCCTCCCTTCTGCAGCACCTGTGATCCATTTCTCCCCCAAACCATGTGTCCACACATCCTACCTTCTTTGATGTGGCTTCATCTCTCCTTTTAGTTGTGGAGTTTGTTCTTTCAGTCTTCAGGGTGATTTCTGGAGTATTTAGAAAGATTTGATAATTATCTAGCTGTGTTTGAGGGGCGAGGCTAGAGTCCTACTCCACCACCATCTTTGCTCCCCTCCCCAACATCCCCGCACCCCCCCGACTAACAACCTTGCATAGTTGTACATATGCCTATTTCCATATGGTGTTCATCAGGCCATGAGTACTTTTTGTGGATTTTTTCCACTTAAATGCACATACTTTTTTGACCTGGCCCAAATCCTTGTCAGTTCATGTATAATATGTATTGGTTAAGTACTTGTACAAAATGGTTTGTGTAGTCTTTGTGGTTGGGCCCAAGTTTCTTCTATTAAGAAGAATGCTTTTGTGTCAATTGTTTTTCCTATTTTTTGGTGGTTAATTCCCTTGGCCTGTTCCCCAAAATGGATCCATTGGATCAACAAATATGAACTATCTCATATGTATGATTTTGCATTTCATCTACATTTTTCCAGAATTCTTAATGGCTATGTAAATAGAATAAGCCCAGTGTACAGTGCTACCAGCAATGTGTAAGTGCATCAGTGTCTCTCCTGCCAAAACTCCTGCTAAATCCATTTCATAAAAAATTATATATATTTATTTTATATTGACTGACCTGGAAACCAGAGACATAGAAGCAGGGAGGCAAGTTAGGGGACTGCTGTGATAGTCAATGTCTAAGTAAAAAGGGCCTGAGTTTGGGTAATTATGAATTTAATAAATTCAAATTCATCATCACATATTGCCTAAATACCTACTATGTGCCAGGCTCATACTAAACATGTTAGTACCTAATTAAAATTTTAATATCTTTGTAAGATAATGTATTATTGGTCTTCATTATATAGATGAGGTAACTAAGACTTAGCAGATTGATATGACATACCCTAGGTCACACAAATAGAAGTTCTAGAGCTGGGTTTCAAACATAGGCTTTCTGAAGGATTAAGCTGCTGGAAGAATTAAAAAAAAAAAAAAATGGAAAAGAAATCCAGAGTTGTTATGACCAAAAATAGGTGGACGTTAAGGGAGGTAGCCTAGATAACTCCAGTATTGGGTGCCTGTTCATGAATAGTGTTCCATTTGGCTAACCATTCAAGTACATTTTCTCTTTCAGGAGATTCTGACAGTTTCAGCAAAGTGCGGCCTCCAGGAGAAAAGCCTACCATCGTCCGTCCCCCAGTGAGGCCTCCAGACCCTCCGTGCCGGGCAGCTACTCCCCAAAAGCCAGAACCAAAGCCAGATATTGTGGTTAGCAATGCAGGGGAAATCCCATCATCTGTGTAAGTAGAGTTTTTCCTCAACCTTGGCCTAAGGCTCATCTTAGGCCACCAGGAGTTCTTTCCAGGATCACCATAATGGTTGTGAAGGGTATACAGTGCACAACCCCAGGGTATCATTCACTTCATAGTCTAGGGAAATGTCACAGACAAGCCCTGTTTGGAGTGTTCCACTCAGCACCCAAGGCTGAGAGATTTCACTAACGCTGCCCTGATTTCTGTAGGGTGATAAGATTACCTTCTGCTTTCATGCTCCCTTGGCTCTGGAAATTTTTCATATTTTCTTATTATTGCTACTGTAATGAACAGATTTGTTCATTGTACTTGTGCCTTCAGGCTTTCTTTTTAAATCAATGGTATGATTTTTTTTTTAATCTTCTAAAATGACTCACGTTCTCCAGAGAGCCTCTTGCAGGGTAAGAACTGAGCTAATGGCCAGCACGTTTTCCTGAGGTGGGACTGCAAGCCAAGAAACCAGGTATAAAGTAGCTAAGGCAGGGCCACAGCAGCTCTCAAGGACCAGCCTTGTATGGTCATAACTAGCCTGACTGGTCTCTCTTCAGCCAGTGCTTGGGACCCCTCTCATATACTGCCTCCTAGTATTCCTTTTTCTTGTGTCTCTTGTTTTCCATAATTGTAAAATGGGCAAAATAAGAAAAACAAAGTCTCTATCATGTTGATTAAGTAGCTAAGTGTATTTACGAAAATGTCAACAATTTATACATTGAAGCCAAGGACTTGTTTCACTTATTTCTCATAAGAATAGCCTGAACAAACAACGTACTTAGACCACTCTGAACCAAGGGAAAGCCAAGGGCATTAGACATAGCCTTGAGGGTGCTTATGGTCTCTGAGTCATTTCACATTCTGATATTTGGGTTCTCCTTAGACCCAGGTCCTTTGCAAGCTGGGGAAGACCCTTCAGTTGGTGGCCTGTCTGGTTTATACTTTTTGTCTTGTCCATTGTCTGTTGGTTCTCATATGTATTCCAGAGCAACTCATGGGACTTGATTGGCTTCTGTTTGCAGGGTGGCTTCCAGGACCAGGTTCTTTGAAACAGCTTCCCGAAAAACAGGAAGGTAAGACACATAGATGACAGAAGAGACACCAGGTTACTTTTTAATAAATGGATCATGAGCATCACAGTTGCTGTCTTACATTCTCTTTTTCTGTTTCTGTGCAGTTTCATCTCTGGCTCTCTGTTTGTCACTTTCTCTCCCCTAGTTCTGTCTCTCTGGTTCCTGTTCTCTCACCCTATACATCTGTTTTTGTCTCTGTACATACGTTTCTCTGTCCTTGTTACTCTATTTGTCTCCCTCATACTCTTTCTTTCTCTATGTCATTGTCATTCTCAGTCTCTTTCTGTCTCTCTTTGTGTTTTTCTAGTTATATCTCTGTTTCTGTGTCTCTCTGTCTCCCTCTTTGTTTGTTTTAGTCTTTTTCTATCTCTCTCTCTCCCCTTTCCCTCTTTCTTTGCCTGTCTCTGTATCTGTGGTATCTTTGAGTCTCTGACTGTGTTTTTCTACCTCTTCCTCTCTTCTGCTTCTCTCTCTCTGTCTCTCACACACACAGTACTCACATGCTAAGTAATATTGCAAAAGAACATGACATTCAATGTAGGTCTTATTTTTTTGTTAGTTTACTTATTTAGATTCTATTATATTCTAAAAGGGCAGCTGATAGGAATCTATAGAATGCAACACTCACGTAAACAGCCTTAGAATAAACACAGGTAAACATTAGGTGGTATGATATAAATCACCTGGAAACAACTGAGGGAACAAAAACATAAACAGATTTGCTTTCCACCCTAGACCCACTGAAACAGAATCTCCAGGAGTGGGGCCTGGGAATCTCTTTTTTTGTTTTATTTCCTTCCTTCCTACCTTCATTCCAGTTTGTTTGTTTTTAAAACTTCTAAGGTATTGGTACAAATTGTCCAAAGCTTGGCATTTGGGACCCTTTAGAATAGAATACCTAAGAAATGGTTGCTTAGCCTTTAGGGACTCTTTTGTGATTTTGCTCCGTGTTGCTTTTTAGAGAGTTTGAAATTGTGTTTCCTGATGGGTGATAAGAGTATAACTCTTCTAGGTGGTCAGTTAAAAGAACAATGTGCCTTTACCAGCAGTGGAGCTAGGGTAAGTTTAACATCATCTAGTCAAAACTGTGAGACCTAACTCACCAGGACATGATACTGCACAGCAAGTCACCCTAGTTCTGCTTGGCAGTCAGCCATTAAGCCAGGTCCAGTTCTCCTTAGACAATAATTTGCTATTTATTCTACCATAACAGATAAAAATGAGGTCAAGCTCCCAGATTTCTCTTACTAATACAGTAAAATTTTTGCCTAGGATGTTTTTAAATCAGGCTTAGTCAAATGTCCCTCTTGAGAAAAAAGATGAAAGAGAGAGACAGAGAGACTCTTTAATACTCTTAATATACTACCCACTTTTGAGCAGGACCACTTCCTATTTCCTGGTGATCCTTCCTCCCTCCCTAGAATAAGCCATATGAGAAATAAGTTACAAGGAAATGGAATGAAGTAAACTAGAATTAACAGAGTGAGCTGGGTATATCTATAAGAACACTCTTTAGAGGAAGTGGTATCTCATTTGGGGCTTAAAAATAAGTAGAAATACACCAAAAAATATGAGGAATTCATCTGTATCCTTGGACAGGGAACCAGTGTATTGAGAGAGAATATGTAAGAGGCATTAACAAAGTCCAGTAGAATCTTTAAGGCAGGCCAACTTCTAATAGGAAAACTATAGCCAAACTGATGTTGAGAGTATGGAAAGATTGATACTGCTGTCTGAGCTTTGTCACCTACTGCTCAGGGAATTCTTGGATCAACTCACAAAATAAGGGGGGCGGGCTCTAACCAAACCAGGCACTTCAGGCTAAAGCACCACTCTACTTATCCTATGTTTAGGCCTCTGGAACCTAGATTTAATCCTGTTCCTTATCCCCAGATTCTATCTTGCCAGGAGTGTGGGCAAGACTGAAGTGGATACACCTGTCCTCCAGTGTGTCATGAGCCATAAAGCCATATAGGTTCCTCCCTTTTAGTATCCACATAGAAAAAAACCACCACTTCTGTCTATACTCCCACCTTGTGACCACCACTTACATCAGTACATCTACATGCTGGCCACTGGTCAAGATCCTCAGACTAGCCACATCAGTACCATCTATAGACATTGTTGGCAAGCTCTTCTCTCTGATGAAAATAATGGTCTGTTTAACTTTTGTTCTGCTCCTTTTTGCTTTCCATTTGTACCCAACTGTAGCCTGACATTTGAATCACTTTACTTCCTCATTCATCTCTCATCCACAACCAATAAAAAATTTAAAACTTAAATGAAAATGGGAAATGGTCCATCAAGAAGAGAAGGAAGGGGTTCAGCAAGGCAGAACAGCTTATGCAAGACAGGTTCAGTAAGTGATTAGTGTTGCACTTTGGCTATGATGTGGGGGTGAAAAGAGGGAAGCTTATCTGGAGGTGAGGCCAGAAAGATAGACTGCGTCCAGATTGTAAAACCTTATATGACATACTAAGGAATTTGGTCTTTATACTTTAGTCCATGGGGAATCATGTAACCTTTAAGCATGACAATGCATACTCTGAGATGACTAAGTTGTGAAACAAAACAAAACAAAAAAACAAACAAAACCTCATTCTGTTAGTAATGAGAAAGATAGATGGGAAAGACTGGAAACAGAGACCAATTGGGAGGCTAATCATCATGGCAACAATTGATGAGGCCCTAACCTATGGCATTGCCAGTGAAATGGAATAGAAGGACAGATATGAGATAGACACAAGGAGACCTGGCTGACTTTTCAAACATGGAGCATTGAATGGGCAACTGGGTGGCTCAGTTGGTTAAGTGTCTGCCTTCGGCTCAGGTCATGAACCCGGGGTCCTGGGATTGAGTCCCACATTGGACTCCCTGCTCAGTAGGGAGTCTGCATCTCCCTCTCCCTCTGCCCCTCCCCACCACTTATGCTCTTGATCTTTCTCTCTTTCTCTATCTAATAAATAAATAAAATCTTTAAAAAAAAACATGGAGCATTGGAGAAGGATTAAGAGGGAAAAAAGTCTAACTTGGAAAATTAAGTGGATGGTAACAATAATTAATCATAGAAGAACAGGTTTTGTGGGAAAGTTGCTCTCAATTTTGGACACAGTGTTTTTGAAGACCCTGGGGGATATCCAGATAGAAATGCCCAGTGCAGGTTGAGAGGAAGATGGTGGTGGAATAGGAGGACCCTAGGCTTGCCTCATCCAACGAACACAACTAGGTAACTAAAAATCATCCCAAATATCCCAGAAATAGACATGAAGACTGTCAGAAAAATCTCCTTAAATAAAGGGAGAGAAGAGGCCCCACTGAAGAAGGTACGAAGTGCGAAGAGTGGGCTTAGGGGAGAAAGGAATCTCAGGTGCTGTGGAGGGGAGGGAGCTGAGGTTGCAGAGAAGGGCAAGAGAGAGACCAGCACACAGAAGAACACACAAGGAGAACATTTCCCTAAAGCCATTGGCTTGGAAAATCAGAGTGGTTGAATTCCCTGAATTTTTGCACCAAGTGGGGCTTAAAGCCTGCAGTTGTGCTTTTTTTTTTTTTTTAAATTGATTCGAGACACAGAGGTACAGAGAGAGAGAGAGCATGAGCAGAGGGAGAAGCAGAAGGGAGAGGGAGAAGCATAAAGGAGAATGGGTTTTGCTGAGATAGAGGCCTGGAGGCACTGTGCTGCTCCTGGAAAGAAGGCAGGCAAACAACCCAGGGAGAGACAGCATGGAAAATGATCTGAGGAACACCTGCAGAACACAGAGGGGAGACTGTTCACTCTTCTCAGAGTGCATCTCTGAGAGACAGTGTTCACGGAAATACCTCCAGGAACAAAGGAGCTGGCAGGTGCTATTTCACTCCCCACCCCTCAGCATAAACACAAAGCCACCTGCAGGAAGCACAACAAACAAAGCCTAAAGCCAGGAAGAAGGAAGGAAATAATAAAGACTAAAGGAGAAATAAATGAAACAGAACCTAAAAAACAGCCAATAAAACAGATCAATGAAAGCAGGAGCTGGTTCTTTGAAAAAAATAACAAAATTGATAAACCTCTAGCCAGACTTACCAAAAAGAAAAGAGAAAGGACCCAAATAAATAAAATCACAAATGAGAAGGGAGAAATAACGACCAACACCACGGAAATACAAGCAATTAGAATATTATGAAAAACTATATGCCAGCAAATTGGACAACCTGGGGGAAATGGATACATTCCTAGAAACATATAAATGACGAAAACTGAAACAGGAAGAAATAGAAAGCTTCAACAAACCGATAACCAGCAAAGAAATTGAATCAGTAATCAAAAATCTCCCAACAAATAAAAGTCCATGGCCAGATGGCTTCCCAGGGGAATTGTACCAAACATTTAAAGAACAGGTAATACCTATTCTTGTCAAACTATTCCAAAAAATAGAACTGGAAGAAAAACTTCTAAATTCATTTTATGAGGCCAGCATTACCCTGATACCAAAACCAGATAAAGACTCCATTAAAAAGGAGAACGAGAGGCCAATATCCCTGATGAATACGGATGCAAAAACTCTCATTCAAATACCAGCAAACCAAATCCAACAGTACATTAAAGGAATCATTCACCAGGATCAACTGGGATCTATTCCTGGGCTGCAAGGGTGGCTCAATATTCAACAATCAATCTACGTGATATACCACATCAATAAAAGAAAGGTAAAGAGGGGCGCCTGGGTGGCTCAGTTGGTTAAGCGACTGCCTTCGGCTCAGGTCATGATCCTGGAGTCCCGGGATCGAGTCCCACATCGGGCT